TGTAATTTGCGGTTGCGAAAATTGCGACAGTGGTTGGAGTAAAGAAATGAAAGGTTCGATGATAATAAAAGAGAGAAGGTTTCTGAATTTTCTGGCTTGTGTAAGTTAATAAACGTGTATATGTATAAAAAGAAACGAAATACAAATTATTTATATATTTATATATATATGTGTGTGTTTGTTCGATTCGTGTGCATAGAAAATGCCAGTTTTTCTTAGATTTGCAATTAATGTTCCAATCGTTTTGTATTCCAATTGTATATTCGATTGGTTATAATACCTATACGTATGTGTTTATGTATGTATGTATGTATGTATGTATGCATGTATGTGATGATTAAAAGAAGCAAAGTTTAACGAAGGATTTTTTTCTACGCAAATTTAACACGGACAAAAACAGAAGAAGAAGTTTTTAGGCAACTTAATCATTTCTTTCATCATATTATTTTCATATTTGTTCAGGGGGGCTGGGGAGGGGGATGGAAAGAAAAGTTTCTTCTAATTGGTGATGATTTTTAGTTACGATTTGTTTCTAGGGGTGAAAGGGGTGAAAGGGGGCAGGTAAGAGGAGAGTTTTGGAATATAATTCGTTGTGGAAAATACAATGAATGTGTGTGACACGCAAAATAGGCTTTTTTTTTTTTTTTTTAAATAAACAAATCACGGAATAGGAAAGAAAAAACAAAATAAAAAGAACAATATAATTTCTTACATAATAATATTTTTTTTATAATTTCCGTGAGAAAGGAAGAAATGATTATTATTATTATAATAATATTATTATAATAATAATTATTATTATTATAATAATAATTATTATTATTATTACGAGCGTGTGTTTATCTTGTCGTACAATTATTTAACGTTTACGACGATTGATTATGCTCGTTGACAAATTAACAAACAAAAAGAAAAAAGAAAAAATTGCAAGCACGAAAAAACAAAAATTTCATGTGTGTCTCTCTCTCTCTCTCCTGTGTGTATATATTCGTTCCTCTTCGTATCACCGAAATTAATTTTTTTCCCTGCATTTCTTCCTTTCTATCTTTTTTTTTTTATGTTCTTTTCTTTTTTTTTTTCTTTCTTCCTCCCTTATTACGATTCGACTTTTCGTTACCACATTTTATTTTATATATGCTATTATATATATATATATATATATTTATTTTATTTTTTTTTTCCTTTCTTTTACTGTCTTTTTATCTTTTTGGTCACGTGATCGAGCGCGTACATTAGCGAGCGTGCGTGCGTGCATGCGTGTAAATTCAAATCTTTCGTGTAAACCGCGTCTAATGTATTATGTATGTATGTATGTATGTATGTATGTGTGAAACATATATTTTGAACTGCGCGAAATAATTGGTCATTTAATGATTTTGTATACATTGATCATCATAATCATCATCATTCCGTTCGATTCGTTTCTTCTTATGATGTGTTATGGCATGTATATGTGTTATATATGTGTGTGTGTGTGTTTTGTATGTTCGCTCTTTTGAATATTCAAAAGGGATTATTATTTTCAAAAAAAAGGGGGGGGGGGTGGTTTGGAACGGGCATTTGAAAAACATATTATAGAAGGGGGTGTGGTGGTGGTGGTGGTGACGAACAACAACTCCCCCTCCCCTAATTATGTTCTAACTTCTACAAAAAAAATTTTACGTGTTGTATCTTATTTCATTTCTTCTCTCTCTCTTTCTCTCTCTCTCTCTCTCTCTCTCTCTCTCTCTCTCTCTCTCTCTCTCTCTCTCTCTCTCTCCGTTTGTTCGGGTTTATATTTTACTGATTTTACTTTTTTTTTTTTTTCTCTTTTCTTTTCTTTCTTTCTTTCTTTCTTTTCACGCATATATGCATCTCAACATCATCACATCACATCACATCACATCGCATCACATTGCATCACATCAAATCAAATCAAATCAAATCAAATCACCGCTTCGTAAGCAACGAAATCATTTTCGCGTTTTGCGTCATTATAATCGTCTCATCGTCATCGTCATCGTCATCATTCGCGCAAACTATATAATTATAGGATTTATACTCTCAGCCTTACATTTCTAATATTTACAAGACATTTTTTATAACCGATGCCTACTATTTCGGAGTACACTCTCTCTCTCTCTTTCTCGTTCTTTTTTTTCTACACATTTTTACGACGCCCCTCCTCCTCCTCCTCCCCCGGCCCCAATCCCCCTCGAAGAAAATAAAAAAAAAAAAAAAAGGAAAAAAACAAAGCCGAAAGAAACACCCCGATATCCTACTCTCGGATAAAAGGATATAGGGGGTGGTTTCTTTTCACCCCGATGATCATCATCGTATCATCTCGTTCGTCATTTTCCTTCAGTTTGTCCGTTTTTCTATTTCTTTACTTCTTCTCTTTACACATTTACTGTGTTTTTTTTATTCTTTTTTGTGTGTGTTTCAATTCTTTCTTTCGCAAACCAAAAAAGAACAACCCTTATGCACGCATACTACTGTTACACACACGCACGCACGCACAAATATGTATATATACGGAATCCTTAACGTTCTCTTTCTCTCTCACTCTCTCTCATACATTAACATTCTGTTTATTATCTTTTTTTTATTCGTTTTTTAATTCTCTCTCGATGCAATCACACGAAATGACACGTAATATTTATTTTGTATGTAATTATATGCATGTTATATTATGTGAATTGTGTGTAATATAACGCGTGTATCCCTTCCTCATCTGTATTATTATATGTAGTGGTACGTATTTCCCGTTTGTCCAGTTTATTTCATTCTTTTTTTTTTCCTTTCCCTAATTCTAGTGTGCTTATGTATCCATTTATCAT